TTCTAAAAGTGGCAACAAACGGTACAGAATGTATTGCAGAGAATAAGCTCAGAGTGCAATAAGGGTGCTCTCTCAGTTCATGTAATTCTTTGTTTAGATATTTGTTGTTTGATATACATAAATTTATGATGTATGTAAGTGAAAGCACTGACAGCATGTCTGTCGTTGTTCTGGGAATGACTTGCAATCATTGTGTTAGTGCTCATGAGAGGAAAAGAGCAAGCTGACGCTTCAGTGAGAGAGAACAAGGGAGGTTTGTCTCTGAAACTCTCAGCTTTGTTCTGTGTTTTATGTCAAACTGTTCCTGTTTGTTCATGATAACCTTGCCTTGATAATGTCACCTGCAGAGTGTCGCCACGAAGACAATTTAAACATCTAACAAAGATAAGTCTGGTCCTCTGGACGGATTCAAAAAAATAAAAATAACGTTGAAACGTTTTGTGTTTAATCCAAATTAAATCAACATTCTGAGGAGCTGCACTAAACTCAGTCTTATAAATAGACTCTTCTCATAGTGGATCAACCAGTTTGTTGTTGACATCCAGAACTAGCTGTTCACATGATCAAGGAGGACCATCAGTCCAATGACTGATCGTTAGTACCCTGATAGCCTCTTGATATTCACAGGGGGCTGAGTGATACTAGCAACAGCATCGGGGGACAGTTGGACACGGAGGCCTCCACCCCTGTTTAATGATGGGCGAGATTGATTCACAAAGATGGCCTCCTTCACTCCGCTCTCAAACCAATGTTCCTCTCTATCAAGGATGTGAACATCTTCATTGTGAAGTGAAATCATCCATCATTAAAACAGGACGGAGGCCTCAGTGTCCAGTTGTTACTCTCTTACAGTGCTGTAATTGCTAGTATATATATATAAAGTCTTTATAAACCCTTCTCACACTTTTGCAAAACTCTAAACATTGTTTGTAAACTCTAAACGCTCTAAAAGAGCACAGAAAGTCATGATCTCTGCTCTCTGCCACCTGCAGCTCTCTGCCACACCCACTTCCCCTGCAAACACACTCATCACCTCCCAATCTCTGTGTAAATAAACAATTTAAATTTGTAATATTTAAAAAAAAACAATGAATGAATTGTTTTTTAAAGATATCACAGTATTTAAATTTAAATTGTAGAGAAGAGAAGCGCAGCAGGACATCAAAGGGTTAACCCTTCAGCGGCAGATGCAGCACGGAGCAGAAATGTACTTCTTGCTCAATTACACTGAAACAACTGAACATAGAAGTTCTAAAATAATTAAAAATAACTTTCAACACTTTTATATTTTGTGATTATGATGATATTGTGATGTGACATACTTTGAATTTTAAGTTGGAAGACAAAAGTCAATCGGTGCATCTGGACAGCAAAGGGTTAACTCTTCACAAAGCTGCTGCAGCACAGAGGAGAAATGTGGGCGTGGCAGAGAGAGGAGATCATGGCAGGTGCAGGAGGGAGCTTCTCCCTGCATCTGTGGGCTTCACACAGGTGCTAAATTCATCCATCCATTATCTTTAACCCACTTATTCCATTTTGGGTCACGGGGGTCGCCGGTGCCCATGTCCAGCAGTCACTGTACGAGGGGCGAGGTACACCCTGGACGGGTCTCCAGTCCATCACAGGGACACATAGAGACAAATGAGACAAACAACCATTCACTCTCTCACTCACACCTAGGGACAATTTAGAGTTACCAATCAATCTAACATGCATGTTTTTAGTATGTGGGAAGAAACTGCAGTACCTGGAAAAACCCACGCATGCACAGAGAGAACATGCAAACTCCACCCAGAAAGGCCCCCGGACCGGGATTTGAACCGGGGACCTGCTCGCTGAGAGGCAGCAGCTCTACCAGTTGCGCCACCGTGCTAAATCATTTAAAATAATTTATTTTAAATAAACATTTGTTAGTATTTTTATCTAGACTGACCCTGGGTTTTTGATCTGCTCAGAGACGGGATTATAATAAAATTATGACCCGGTCCTGACTGCTTTAAACGGGGCCAGCAACTCTAAAAAGAGTCTCCCAATGATTCAATATCTGTCAAGGAATAGAGTTTATTTTACTTGCTGCATCACGCAGAAAGGCTTTTTATACACCGTCTCATTTTTTCCTTTCACGTTAAACCAGATAAGATCCATTGAGATCACACTTAGTCCCTCCCCTTCATCCACGTGATGGGTTGTGCTCCTCTTCTGCGAATGAGGAGTCTAGGGCCTATAAAGCTGTAAAGCCATGGGACATCCGGCCCTTCTGGTTCCTGATCTCACGTTGAGTACCGGACCGGCCAGCGCTGTAAACTGTAACCTTCTCCTGCCTTGATTTTAATACAAGTGGAAAAACTTAATTCACATTTCCTTGATTTATTGATAGTGTGAGTTGCTGCTTCTAAGGGAGGTCTGAGCCAGGGGGAGCAGTGTGAGCTGGAGGCGGACCTGGGGTCCGATGAGGCCTGAAGCCCACAACTAGCAACAGCTAACTGCAGTAGCCCAGGACCCGCAATCAGCTCTCGTTGTAACACAATCCATGCCGCTTGTGCAGCTCATCCATCAATCAGACAATTGTGTGTCATGTCCAATCTTACTTTGAAAAACTGTGAAAGATCGAGTTCAGTAAAGTTGAACCATGAAGTAGCGATCGAGGGATTACTGTATTACTCAGCCCTCTGTGAATAGCACAAAGCATCAGGATATTAACGATCGGTCGTTAGGCTGATGGTCTGCCTTGATCATGTGAACAGCTCGTTCTGGATGTCAACAACAAACTGGTTGATCCACTATGAGAAGGGGCTATTTATAAGACTGAGTTTACTGCAGCTCCTTAGACCGACACAGTCTTTTGAATTAAAGACGAACCATGTCAACAGTTTTTATTTTTTTAATCCATCCAGAGGACCTGACTTAAGTTTGTTAGATTTTTCTACCTGACTTATTGAGCATGCATCAGGACAATTTAAACACGTTTGGGACTAAAAATATTAATCATGTCTGTACAATATGAAGGTTTAAATTGTAATATTTACTTCATTTTCACTGAAACTGCTCTTTAGGTGAAGATGGCTGGGCCTTCTGACACAATATTATTATATTATTACAATATTATTTAGAGCAGAGTATTTTTTTCTGCAGATTTGCATATAAATAACAGGCTTGTAGTTGCACCAGAGTTAATTAGCTGTGGTCATGTCTGTTTAACAAGTGCACGCTGACGCCTGCCTGCAGCACTCACATAAATCTAACGCTGCAACAACAAGGTCATCGGATGTTGCTTCCACGCGTTTTTGACTGTTAATGTAGAAACTGAAAGTAGCTGAAAACAAATTAATTATTTCTAATTTATATAAGCAGCAGCTTATATGTCCATGTTTAAAGTGCCTGCTTGCACTTTGTGTAAATACTCACTTTAGATGAACAAATTCATTGTATAGATTTAACGATTTTGTCATAACTTTTTTCAATGTTAAATATTTCTATAAAAAATGTTTCTTTATTCACTGCATTAAGCAATATTAGAGACATACTTTTATTTATCAATGCATTTTTATTATATAGGCTGATAGTGATATGAATAGTTGTGACAAAGTAATGTATATGCATATAATTTTTTTAAAATAATTTAATGATTTCCACATAATTTCCAAGAAATAAATGATATATTTTTAAAAATGTCATTATTTTCAAGTGACACTGACTATTGTGACTGATAGGTTGAAGATTGGATCATATAAAGGTTATGAGATGATGAAGGGAGGTGCTTTAAATGGATATGAATGTTGCTGCGTGTCCACATGATGTGATAAATCAACACGCAATCCAGTTTGTGTGTCTTTGTCATCTTAAAAACAATAAAACAATAACAAAACTGTGAGTAGATAGTCAAATCACCCTTATAGAAAACTTGTTTTTTGCATGTGATCCCGTGTATGTTATAAAATATATTTAAGATGTCACAGGAACACACACTAAACAATTTTTCATCATAATTTTACTGTAAATTTGTAAGGTCATATAAGTCAAATAAATCACAACTTTACCATCAGTTTAATTTGTTTTTTAATATTCTGAGTCATTTCATTGTTTTCTACCAAAAGTACAATTTAGACAATCCACATTTTTTCTTTATTGTTTACATTTCTTTGCATTTTAGTTTAAATATGGTGTTAATGTCTGTCGGTCCGTGCGATGCAGACAGAATCACAACTTGCTTCTAGTGCTTGTCTTTCTCGAGCACAAAACTGTTTGTCCAGATAATGGACGCAAAGTGTGTAAACGTTGCAACACTTGTGTGTAAATACTTAATGAAAGACAAATAAATATTTATTGATGAGGTGCCGTTGTGTTTATTTCCTGTGAAACGTGGGACGTGGCGAATGCTCGGTGAGCATATTTTGCAGCGTTTCGAGTGATGTGTGGGAGTCAAGAGGAGCAATTATGATGCAGGTTCAGCTCTGAGCTTACACAATCGACACAGAGAGCAACAACACAGCCTAATATAAGTTACAATCCACACAACAGTTCTCAATAAAATTACAGAAACCATTAGAGGAGAAACACACTTTACAAAAAGTCAACCCTGAACACAGAACATTTTCCTTTAAAAACCTCTCAATATTAAAACAATTAAATAAAAATAGTTATAGGAATAAAAAACGATGTGCTATAGGCCACACAGTGGTAAAATGTTTGGCGCCGTCGTCTCACAGTGTGAAGGTAACAGGTTTGATTCCCAACTGTTTTGTGTACCTGTGCACACGTGGGTTTCCTCCAGCAGACCAAAACATGCATGTTAGGTTAACTGGTAATTAAAGTGTCCCTAAGTGTGGGTGAGAGTGAACGCTTGCTTGTCTTTTTGTGGCCCACCTCCCACACAGCGCTGGAGATAGACACCAGCTCCCCCGTGACTCGAAAGGGAAAAAGCAGAATGTGAATGGAAGCGAAAGGTTTTCCCCTTTAAATTGAAATAAAGGACACATTTTACCTGAACAGCTTTCAGCATTGAAAAGGTCTATTTTGCCATAAATCTATGAGCCGAAATAAACAAACCTTTTCATGTTCCCTAAATAATGATGAAAGAAAGCTGGAGCAAGCAGAACACGATTCTCTGTCGAGACAAGAACTGTGGAAGTCCACAAGGAAATAAATAACATCAAACTTCTGCTCAGCAGTCCGTTCATCATGTTTGTTCCTCTCATCAGTTTTCCACGGCCTGCGTCTCTCAGCCTCAGTCGGATGGAAACTTTTCAGTGATGTCCTCCAGGGGGATAACCGTGTACTCTCCGTTACTCCCATTCTCCTTGGGCCCATCTTTGAGCAGGATGGGGAAGGTCTGCATCTCTAGCTCCCTCTTCTGGTTTGAAATGGGAGTTTTGGTTTCAGCCACCTGGTTTGGATGGTTCCACCTGCACAACGAGGGACAGCAGAGATCGATTCGGCGCTTAAAAAGTTATTGTCACACAAAACACGCACACAAAGGGTTTTTCTTTTCTCCTGAAAATTAGGTCTTACTTGTCTCTAGTGGCAATAGCTGCACAAACTGCCACAAGCGCCGCAAGAGCAACAATGAACGCAACAATGATTATCCAGTCTAGACAGGTGAGGGAAAAAACACGTCAGTTTGATTAAATAACTTGAGTAAAGGTTAAACCATTCATTTAATTCAAGTTTCTTTTATTTACCTGGTGTGATGTGGCCTTTGTGCATGTCTGGTTTTTTGTAGTCGTCTCCTGTAAGAAACATGGAAGCAGTCTTACACGTGGCTCTTTCAAAGATAATCAATTGTTTTGCTATAATTATATATAAATAGATATATATTCTCAGTAAGAGGGTTTTTACCATTTGCGAGTTTATCCATTTCGGATACATTTTCCTGCATTAGACGAGATTGAATCTTTTTCTCTCGGAGAGGCTCCTCCAAAGCTCGAGTCTTTGTGGATACTTCTGTTGGCTCGGACGTTGGTGAAGCAGCTGTACTGTCTCTTACAGACTCCGTCGTGGAGGCAGGGCTCTGAGTATGTGAAACGCTCGTGGTTGTAGCTGGAGAGAGTCTACTTCCTCCCTCAGATATTGTAGCAGATTCTGTGGTGCCGCTGCCCTCTGCTAGGAAATCTGTGAACGTCTGCTGTGACGTTTGGATGGTGGTGGCTGATGGAGAAAACCCACTTCCTTCCAATAACATTGTAGAGGACGTGGGGTCAGCACTGCCCTCTGTTTGGAAATCTGTTAATGGTTGATCAGAGACTAGGAATGCTGGGAATCTGTCCATCCCAGGCTGCGTTGTGGGGGTATGAGACACACTCAGAGGTGTAGTGTGAGTGTGTCCACTTCTCTCCATGGATCCACCACTGCCCTCAGCTGTGACATCTAAGGACAACTGTTGGGATGACTGAATGACCACTGGTGTTTTGGGTGTTTCAGTTTTTGGTGGGGAAACCTTTCCGTCCACTCCAGACTCGGTGGTGGTCTGAGCATTTAAACCACTCAGGGCTGTGGGGTGGTCAACAATAAACTCTTCAGCTTTGACCTCATGGTAAATGTCCTCATCGAGCTTAACAGGGATCTGGGTCACACCTACAACAAAGAGACAGGGAAATCCATGGATCAATTTAAGTATTTACCAACCGGATTGGACATGAACAGAAAGGGAAGTCGACTGGGCTTGTTTGATGTCTTACAGCGGGACATAATAGCTTACTTGCTTGGCTGCAAAAACTTGTGTTAGCACGTTTTGCACCCTGCTGTGAGGAGGTGTGGTGAGAGAATAAAGATGATTAACCCGTGAGAATAAATGTGGCTCAACAAAACGGGGTGTAGCCTCATCAAAATGATCGTTTTAACATTTGACACACCTAGTATATCAGACAATTAAGAATGACGAGGCAAAATTTTTTTTAAATATTTTTGTGCCAAGGAGAGATTTGTGCTATTAAAGAAGCAACAAGACAAACCAATTAATTTATTTTGAAATGCATTGCTCACTTACATGTGCATTATGATAGTAAGGTAGTGGCTTGTTTCAACAATTTCCTGCATGATCATTAAAGTTCTATCTTATCTTATCTTATCTTATAATTACAATGTTCTGGGGAAAAAAAGAAATATATATATATATATATATATATATATATATATATATAT